TAGGTGGGTTGAGCTTAGAGTGTGTGACTGGCCCAAGATCACCCAGCTCTGGCTTTCATGGCTAAGGCAAGACTTGAACTCATGGTTTCCTGTTTTCTAGCCTGGGCAGGAAAAACCAAAGATACAAGTACAGATTAGGCCCGTGATGGTTAACCTTTTTGGGCTCCTGTGGCAAAAATTGTGCGCACGCTTGCATGCTCGCGCATGCGTGCAAGTACCCAGAAGGCAATGCATGCCCCCCCACGCCCCCTACGCATGCACGCGCAATCCCCACCCACCCCCACCAACCCCTTACCTGCACTGCGCCTCACAGCTGATTTTCAGCCAGTTTGAGGCCTTTTTCCGCCTCCCAGAGGTTTTAGGAAGGCTTCTGCAGACTTTGGAGGCCGAAAACTAGGCCAGTTTCGTCACTTCCGGTATTTCCGGAAAAACAGGAAGTGATGAAACGGGCCTAGTTTTCGTCCTGAAAAGCCTGCAGAAGCCTTCCTAAAGCCTCTGGAAGGCCAAAAAAAGGCCTCAAACCAGTTGAAAATCAGCTGTGAGGCGCACTCATGCGCAGTGAGGTAAGTCTGCCTGCAGCTCGCGTGCCGGCACAAATGACATACTGTTCGCCATCACGGGATTAGGCGAAAGCCAGCTCAAAAACAATAGCTGTGAGAGGGACCTTGGAGTCTTAGTGGACGATCACTTAAATATGAGCCAGCAACATGCGGCAGCAGCAGCCAAAAACATCTAATACAACCCTTGGTTGAATAAATACAGGCATAGAATCAAAACCATGTGATGTGTTAGTACCGCTTTATAAAGCCTTAGTAAGGCCACACCTGGAATACTGCATCCAGTTTTGGTCACCACATTATAAAAAAAGATGTTGAGATTTTGGGAAAAAGTGCAAACAAAGAACAGCAACTAAGATGAGTTAAAGGCCTGGAGACTAAAACATATGAATATTTATTTTCTAAAGCACCATAAGGCAGGACCTGGAATTGAGGAGAAACTTCCTCACAGTGAGGACAATTAACCTGTGGAACAGCTTTGCTTTCAGAAGTTGTGGCTGCTTCATCCCTGGAGGTTTTTAAGAAGAGACTGGACTTGTCTGAAATGGTTTAGGGCCTCCTGCTTGGGCTGGACTAGAAGACCTCTAAGGTCCCTTCCAACTCTATTCTGGTTCTGATTCTTAACCACTAGGCCAAACTGGCTCCCTGTATTTGGCCATAAAATACTGAACCCCGTAAGGTTTGCAAGTTGACCTCCAGAAACCCACTTTGTTTTTGCTGCTTCAGCTGGCAATCCCAGTAGAAAAAACAGGGCAGAAGGACCAGAATACAAAGTGTGTACTTCCTGAAGAGTTCTAGAGTTGGAAATGACCTCAAAGGTCACCTAGCCCAACCCCTGCTCAGTGCAGGAACTTCTAAATCTTTTGGACCGACAGTTATCTGGCTTCTATTGAAAACACTCTAGTCTAGTACTGAACGGAGTCTATCATCCTTCTCTATACGGGTAGTCCTCAACATACAACCTGTCAGATTTGGAAGCCATATTGAGATCCGATGCTCCCACGCTGCCACATTTGAGCCTGGGAAAGCGGGAATTTATTGGAGTATATCTAGTTAGACATAATAACATTCTTTTTCTGATTCAAGGTCAGGTGGTGTTGTGCATAACTGAGAGGAAGTCTTAACTTGGCACAGATGGATTGGGCCATGTGATGTGACAATGGGTGTAGGAGATGGATTTTGTGCCAGTTGCTATCCAAAATAAAAGGAACCTTTGAGAAGATGTCTGTCTCGGAGTTATTGGGCGGAATGTAGGGTTGCTGGAAGGCTGACACAACCATTTGTTTAGCGACTGTTCAAAGTTACACAACCACTGAAAACAGTGACTTATGACAAGTCCTTGCAGTTATGACCATTGTGGCATCCTAGCGGTCACATAATCAAAATTTCTACCCAGTAACATTCAGAAAAAAATATATAGTAAATATGAGCATTGTTACTCCTTTACTGACTGTTCTATGTTAAAATACATGAGAGCCAATGTCAGTTAATCTATTTTTATAACACAATCCTCAGCTTACGATCGGTTGCTTGGCAACCATTCAAAGTTATGACACACCACAAAATAGATAGGACCTGGGTTCAAAGTTGCTAAGGGCAGCCTCTCCCCCGTCACGTAATCACAGTTTCGGAACTTGGCCATCAGGCCGCATTTATAGCTATTTGCAATTGCCTCATGATGATCTGACCACAACTTATAATGTTTTTGCCAGAAACCGGCTTTTATTTCCAGTTTCTGGCAAAAAAAACCCACCACCCATCGGGACTAAAGGGTTGACTTAATGACTGTAGCATTCACTTAATCTCTGTGGCGTTCACTTAATAACTACGGTGTTGGTTTTATGACCATTGCATTGGCTTAACCACCATGGCAAAAAAAAGATCATAAAATCATCAGGTGCAGTCACATAACAACCCCTTAATGACCTAAAATCATAATGGTGGGTTCAATGACAGTTGTAAATCGAGGATTACCTATCCAAGATTGTCGCTGTTACAAAAAGCTGGTCGCAAGGCCTCCCCCCTCCCGCCAGATGTTTACGAACCTCATTTGGTCCTGTTTCTACAAAATCTTGTCCCTCAGGTGGTGGAAAAGTTACTGGATGGTTACAAGGGCTGTTTTCATCATCTGTAGAAGACAAAATTGGTTTCTTAAACTTTTCCATGAAATATGCCCAAAAGGGCTGACTGCAATAAAATACAATAAAAGATGCACCATTCACATGACCTAAGTCTTAAGAAAAACCTATAACATTGGATTAAAAATAAATGTATGCTAATTGTCTATTAAAGTAAAGCTAATGTGTTTTCTTCCTCTTAACCATGGACCATCAACCATGAATTGGGGTTTTGATTTATTATGTGCTGTTAGGTATAACATTGATACCAAATATGGTTTGGGTGAATAAATATATAAAACTTAGATATCATGGTTTAAGTGCTTATCACTTTAAGCACAATGCAGCAGGCAATTAGCCGATTAAGGGTGCGGTTAGAAGTTACAATATAAGGAAGCATTAGAAGCTGGAAAGCTGGCTGTAACTGTCTGTTACTGTAACTGTGAGTTACTGTCTGTTACTGTAACTGTGTGCTGCTGCGATTAACTGCTTCCTGCTGCGACTAACTGTGATTACTGACTGTGAGTGCCTGTGACTGAACTGTTATTGTTTGCTACTGTTTGCTGAATATCCAGCGTTTGTTTCTCTGGAGAGTGAAACCGGAGGAGGAGAAGATATCTTTATCGGCTGATAAAGATATTGCAAGGACTCTTAACTTGGACTATACTAGTGAGTCTTACTGGATGGAAATATAGTGAATGACTATTGGACTGAATGACAATGCTTAAACTCTAACTGGATTAAAAACTATTTAAACTACAAACAGTGTTTTGTGTTCAGTGTGTGTATACTCTGGGGCCCTTCCGCTCTCCTTTGGTTGCCTGGCTTGACTACTGCTGCAATACTCTTCTAGGGGTTAATTCCAAAACCCTAACATAATAAATGTATGCTAATTGTCTATTAAAGTAAAGCTAATGTGTTTTCTTCCTCTTAACCATGGACCATCAACCATGAATTGGGGTTTTGATTTATTATGTGCCATCAAATCGACGGTAGTACAAGAACTTATTTATGATAATAAACTGGATTTAATTCTAGTTTTTTCCCCTAAGACTCGTTTATGCCAATAAACTGGTTCTAATTCTAGGGTTTTTTTTTAAAAAAAAATCTTATTTATGGCAATTAATTGGCTCTAATTCTAGTTTTTTTTGTGTAGTGCAGTGTTGGTGTGGTGTTGCGGGTTTTCAGTTCAATGTATGGAGTGTGAAGGATGTGTGTTTGTGTTTATTTTCATGGTCATGATGTGCACTGAAGATGGGGTTTGATTTCGTTGTACGAGGTGCAATGACAATAAACTAAACTTTTTCCCCTAAGATTTATTTATGGCAATAAACTGGCGCTAATTCTAGTTTTTTTTTCTAAGACTTAATGACAATAACTGGCTTTAATTCTAGTTTTTTTCACCAAGACTTATTTATGGCAATAAATTGGCTCTAAGTCTAGTTTTTTTCCTAAGATTTATGGCAATAAACTGACTCTAATCTAGGTTCCCCCCCCCCCCCCCGAGACTCATTTATGGTAATATACTGGCTCTAATTCTAGCTTTTGTCTGCTTTTCTTATATGCTGACAATGCAGCCATTCTTTTCATTACAACTGTACAGGTAGGCCTTGAGTTATAACAGGTTGCATACCATACAAAGTTATGAACTACATTTCAGGTGCTTGATAAACACAGCTGCCATTACAGCCATTTGCAGAATCTTACCGTCACATGACCCCATTTTGCACCAGTTTTGCCCAAAACTGCAAGTTACTTCCAGTTTTCAGAAAATGTCCACCCGTTTTAAAGTTGCACAATTTGCAAAATGCTGAGATAAATGTTTAAAAAGTGTAATTGTAAGTCCTTGCAGGTTCTAACACTGGTGTTATTGTCAATGTTGCCAAATCCTGTTTTAGCCCCCTACACTGTGACAAATTATAAAATCTGGCTTGATTTGTTTGTCAAGGACGGCATATATTTTGCTGCTGGGAGTTGATAGTGTGTTGCACACAACGTGTTGCTTGGTCTTATGAACCATAATGAAGAATCAATCAGTGCTAAATTGTAATGTAGTCCTTACACACAAACCCACTCATGAGTTCCCATGTTCATTCTCTGGAGCAGGGGTCCCCAACCATCGGTCCGCGGACCGGTACCGGTCCGCGGAACAAGTCTTACCGGGCCGCTGGTTGCTGGGCGCCGCCATCTTTTTTTGATAAAAAAGTGCTTCCGGTGAGCTTTTCCGGGTAGAAAGCTCACCGGAAGCACTTTTTCATCAAAAAAAGATGGCGGCGCCCAGTTGATGCCGGTACCGGGCCGCGGCATAAAAAAGGTTGGGGATCACTGCTCTGGAGGACATGTAATGAGCACGTTAAATAATATACCCAAACAACTTCATCTTGCGCAAGACCAAAACTGCTTTTCTAAGAGGCAATTGTTTTTCTTTGAAAAACCAGAAAGTCCAGTTGCCTCTTGAAAAAGCACCTTTGGGACAACTATGACCTGGATGACTGAGAATCTCCATAGACATTCCTACCTAAGAGTTTGAAAGGTTAGGATCTGGCACGCTAATTGTTTTCCTTGCATCAGAGATCAAGTCAATGGTGCTAAATCCACCAACCTGGATGTGCTGATCTCCAATCCCCAAGAATGTGCTCTTTGTTCTCCACAAATAGCAGTTCCTTTACAGGATTGCATGCATCTCCAACCCTATCTTGGGAAGATACCGGCACCTGAAACAGACAAGAAAAATCCCAGTTGGTTTGGAGGACTGTTTTACAAAAACTATAATTATTTCACCCAGGTTTTGCATGTTCTGCAACTGGCTTAAAATGCTTTTATTTTCGCTGCCACGGAAATCTCACAGTAGGCCTTTACACAGAATGCTCTAATCGCCATTTTTAATCTCCCAACAATCCTGTGAGGTGTTGTGACTGGGAGGCTTGAGCCTGCTGTGAGCTTTGAGTCTGATGTGTCAGAAGACACAGGTTCGAGTGATGAGGAGGGTTTGGCATTGGAATTTGAGCCTGCTTTAATGGGAGATGCAGACGTGAGCCAGGAGGATGAGGAAGTGTCGGAATCATCCTCCTCTCCAGAACCTTCCACATCCATTATGCCTCAGGTGTCAGCAGCTGATCCACAGAATGTGCCAGAGTCTTTGAGTGATGATCAAACTGACGAATGTTGGGTTGATGCAAGGACTAGACGTAGGCTGAGACGTCAAGCACATATTGAAAGGAAACGTCAAATCAGAGACTAATTAGAAAGACTGACACGCCCCTTCAAGGAATATAAGGAGGCGTGTTAGCTAACGATCCTTGTTCGGGTCAAACTTCGTTAATTACGTTCGCAGTTTGGGAGAAGCCTTCTGTTTACCTTTTGGCTCTGATTTATTGTGTGGCTTCTTATCTGAGTTTGAAGACAGTTTCTGGGAAAGCTGCCAACGACGACTACAGAGGAAAGTTAACTCTGTTGTTTCCTGATACTGTCTGTTCGTGTTTATTCCTTTGGGACATTTGGACTCTCACCTTGTGGCTACAGGTGAGACAGAACATTGGACATATGTTTCACTGAGGGGAAAAATAGATCAGGAAAAAGTTACCTGGCACTTTTCATGTCCGGGTGAGGATTTGAACTCAGGTCTTATCATTCTTATCTAACAGAGTCGCTCTGTGAGATGGGCGCTCTCCAAAATTAACATAAATAAGAATGTACAGGTAGTCCTCAACTTACGACCCCAATTGAGCCAAAAATTTCTGTTGGTTAAGCAAGACATGTGTTAAGTGAGTTTTGCCCCATTTTATGGCCTTTCTTGCCACGGTTGTTGTGAATCACTGTGTCAGCTTTGGAAGCCATATTGAGATTCGACGCTTCCACACTGCCACAAGCCTGAGAAAGTGGGAAGGCGGGGGGGATTCAATTGAGTATCTCTAAGTAGACAAAATAAAATATTTTGCTAGTTCAAGGTCATTGAGTATGGCGCAGAATGAAATAAGGCTCTTACTTTAGGACAGATCATGATTGGGCCATGTGACAGGATGACAGCCAAGGGACGGGGGATGGATTTGTAGTTTTGAATATTGCAAGGAAGCCCAAAAACTTTCAGATTCGGGATTCCACAGATGTGCCAGTTTACTATCCAAACAAAGGTAGCTTTGAGAGATGTCTGTCTCGGAGTTATTGGTCGGAAAGGAAGGTTGCTGGAACGCTGACACTTGTTAAGTTAGTAACAAGGTTGTTAAATGAATCTGGCTTCCTCACTGACTTGGTCAGAAGGTCGCAAAAAGTGATCCCGTGGCTCCGGGACACTTCAACTGTCATAAATATGAATCAAGTTGCCAAGCGTCTCCATTTGGATCACGTGACCGTGGGAATGCTGCAATGGCCATGTGAAAGATGGTCAGTGTAACTTCAAACGGTCACTAAATGAGCTGCGGTAAGTCGAGGGCTTACTTGTAATAGCTGTTCTTTTGTAACATTCCTTCCATGACCTCTCGCAGCCTCTCCGTCATCTTTCACGGAGCTCTTGAAAGGAGGAATATAATAGAAATGTAACATACAAGGTTTTGACTCGGCCTTTCATCCTTGCAAGGTCAGTAAAATGAGGACCCAGATTGTTGGGGGAAAGATGATAACTCTGTAAACTGCTTAGAGAGGGCTGTAAAGCACCTTGAAGCGGTATATAAGTCTATGGCAGGGGTGGGATTCAAATGTCTTAACAACCGGTTCTGTGGGAGTGGCCTCATTTGTGGGTGTAGCTTGGTTGTCATGTGAATGGCTGGGTGTAGTTTACTGACCGGGCGTGGCTTGGTGGTCATGTGACTGGCTGGTCGTGGCTTGTATGTAAATATTGTAAATATTTATATAAATACTGAATTTTTTTTTATAAAAAAAAAAGAGCAACTTTTACCCAAAATCAGGCAAAGCAGGCAGGCAGATTGAGTTGCTCACAGAATCACAGATTCACTCAGAGATCTATCTTTCTGCAATCTGCTACCTGAGTCAGCACTGAAAAATAGAAGCTTCAATCCTAAAGAAGGTTCAGCTCTTCTTTTAGACTAGCTAGAAAGCAAGAAATCCAACAATTTCCTGCTTTCTAGCTAATCTAAATCTCCCGGCACAGCTGATCGTCGGAACAGTGGATGGTCAGGGGGGGAAAAAAGGTGAAATAACAACTTACTAAAAATTAGGGGAAGGCACAACGCAGGCAAGTTGGATGGTGCGCATGTCAGGTAAGGACTGAGTGGGAGGGGCGGGGCCAGCCAGTGGCACGATTTGCTGGTTCTCCAAACTGCACAGAATTGTGCAGTTCTATAGAACTGGTCCGACCAGGTAGAATCCCACCTCTGGTCTAAGGTCTATTGCTATTATTTTACGAGTTTTATAAAGGGCTGATGAACTTATCCACTTCCAATACCCCCAAACCTCACCTGTTGTTTCCACATCTCTGCCTCCTGTTGGCTCATCAGGAAATCCTCCATCAGGTCTGTAGTCTGGACCCAATTCTCTGGGTCACATTCACGGATCCAGCTTTGGATCTCCGGGGGCAGGATAGCCAGGAACTGCTCCAGGATCAGCAACTCCAGAATCTCCTCCTTGGTGTGTTTCTCTGGCTTCAGCCACCGATAGCAAAGCTCCCGGAGGTCACCGTAAACCCTCCGCGGATCTTCAACCTCCTGGTAGCGGAACTGGCGAAAGTGCTGGCGCTGGGCCTCCATTTTGAAAGCTGCCCCTCGCAAGATGGCAGCCTTGACTTTCCCATAATCCTCTTGGTCTACGGTTTCTAGGCCATTAAAGGCCTCTCTGGCTGGTCCGGTCAGTGCCGGCAAAAGCCGGGCCATCCATTCGGCTTTAGGCCACCGGCAAGCTTCAGCCACTTGCTCGAAGGAGATCAGGAAGATCTTGGCATCGTCCCAGGGGTCAGAATTCCTCTGCCTCCCAATTGAATGAGAGAGAGAGAGACGCCTTACCTTTAAAGATTCCTGCCCCGGGCTTTCCCAATCCTTGGCTTGTTCTCCTTCAGGATCTCGTTTGATCTGTTTTGATGCAAGGCAGCCCGGAAGCTCTCCGGGAATAAAAGTCTCATCAGGGCCTTTATCCAAATTCAGATCCACCAACGGGTCTAATTGTTTCATCTTTGCATCCAGCACACAGCCTCTGTTTGAATGCAACTTCCCTTCCTTGCCAGAAATCTTTTATTTATTTAGAGAATTTTGAAGGCCGCCTGCTCACTTTTAGCGACTGAGGGTGGCTTGCAAACAATTTCAAAAATCCAATATAAAAAGAATAAAAGAGACACTGGGTCGTTAGTGACAAGCGACCAATCAATCTTTGCTCTAGGTTCAGACTGTTCTGGCAGCCCAGCAAGAGAAATCCACTTGTCTCCCAATTGAGCTGAAGGGGCCGGTTTGAAGAAGGCAATTACTCTTACGTTGATGGTGCAATTCATACAGTACATAGGACAAACTGCAGCACATTCCAAAAATCTCCGAACAGATGTCACATCTAGTCATGGAGGAATCCTGTGGAGAAAAGAGAAGGATTATCTTATCTTCTTTGGTCCCATTATTTCCTACTACTATAACCAATGGTCAGAGATAACGGGGAAGGAAGTGTCACTCTACAACACTTGGAGGCTCCCATGCTCCTTTTTCCTGGTACAGGTAGTTTTTACTTAACGATAATTGGGATCGACACCTCCATCATCACTAAGCAACGTAGTTGTTAAGCGAGCCATCATGTGACTGCGACAGGCTTATGACTTCACTTTCTACACCATTTCAACATGGTCAACTTCCAAGGGAAATCTCTCCCTGAATTTTAAAGAGGTTTTCCAGCGAAGGCAGTACCTCAGAAGCTCTGTCATCACTGAAGGCAACTGAGGAAATATCAGAATAGAATAAAATAACAGAGTTGGAAGGGACCTTGGAGGTCTTCTAGTCCAACCTCCTGCCTAGGCAGGAAACTCTACACCACTTCAGACAAATGGTTATCCACCATCTTTTTGAAAACGTTCAGTGTTGGAGCATTTACAACTCCTGAAGGCAAGTTGTTCCACTGATTAATTGTTCTGTCAGGAAATTTGTCCTGCCCTCAGGGGGCTTTGAAGAATACTCCCTCTTCTTTCTGGCAGCCTCTGAGATATTGGAAGACTGCTATCCTGTCTCCCCTAGTCCTTCTTTTCATTAGACTAGACGTAACCAGTCCCTGCAACCGTTCTTCATATGTTTTAGCCTCCAGTCCCCTAATCATCTCTGAATAATATCTCTAAACAATAACGGTCACGAGTTGTCTAGCAAATAAATAAATGCTGGAGCACACTGAAATTAATAAATCAATGCCCACCGTATTGTTAAAAATAAATCAGACATCAAAAATGGCAATCACGGTCACGGGTTATCTAGTAAATAAATAAATGCTGGAGCACACTGAAATAAATAAATCAATGCCCACCGTATTGTTAAAAATAAATCAGATAGCAAAAATGGCAAGCATCGAAACAGCACCAGTGTGTTGGTCACAGCAAAATTAGAATTGGGATTATTAGAATTAAAATTAATTAGAAGTGGAAGGGATCTTGGAGGTTTTTCTAGTCCAGCCTCCTGCCCAAGTAAGGAGACCCTCTACTATTTCAGATAAGGACTCTCCAGTCTCTTCTTCAAAACCTCCAGCGATGAAGCTCCCACAACTTCTGAAGGCAAAGTTGTTCCCTTGGTTAATTGTTCTCACTGTCAGAAAGTTTCTCCTGAATTCCAGGTTGCTTTTCTCTCCTTGATTAGTGACCATCCATTGTTTTCTTGTCTTGCGTTCTGGTGCTTTGGAGAATAAATTGACCCCCCTCCCTCTTCTTAGTGGCAGCCCCTTAAATAGTGGAATATTGCTATCATGTCCTTTCCCAGCCTTTCTTTTCTCTAGCCCAGGGGTCTCCAACCTTGGCAACTTTAAGCCTAGGCGGGCTTCAACACCCGGAATTGGGCAGGGGAGCGGGGTTGGACTAGATGACCTAACAAGGTCCCTTTTCCAACTGTGTTAAAATCTGTTCAAATCGCCAGCCTCCGTTGGAGTTTTAAATCACGGCTCTTCAAACTTGGCAAGTTTAATAAGACTTGTGTGAACTTCAAACTCCCAGAATTCCTCCTCCCGTCATGTTAGCTCGGGAATTCTGGGAGTTGAAGTCCACAAGTCTTAAAGTTGCCAAGGTTGGACACCCCTGGTCTAGACTATCCAAACCCAAATCCCGCAACCCTTCTTCATTCCATTAGCCTGGAATAGATTACCTTCACAATGCGCATCGCTTCGCAGAGGGTAAAAAATCTTTTCCTGCCCGTTTGACCATATGGCGACGAAGAAAGCCTCCTTGGATAGAAGAGGTCTACCTGACCCGCAACGGGGCCAGGGGAAAGGATCTCTCTCTCTCTCGCTCCCCTGCCCTTTAGACAGGAGACAGCAGCAAGCGGACCCAGCCTTCGCTTTTTGCAGGACGTCCCGAGCGAGGCTTCCCACTCCCCCGGCTCCCTGGAACTCACCGACCGAAAGAAAAAAAAGCCAATTTCCTTATGAAGATCAGGAGGAGCAGAAAGAAATAAAAAATAAATAGCGTTGCGGGCAGGTCTAGGAAACCAAAACTCCGTGGTTTTAACTCTTTCGTACCTCTCTATCGTAGCTTGAAAAAAATGAGCAGAAACCGAACCGAATTACAATTAGAATTCTTTTTATTGATTGGGCAAGTGTGACTGGACAGACAAGGAACTTGTCTTGGTGCAAATGCTCTCGGTGTACATAAAAAGAAAAGATACATTCGTCAAGAGTCAAGAATGATAAGTTACAACACTTTAAAAAAAGTCATAGGGTACAATAAGCAAACAAATCATACTAGGAAACGGTCAATAAAAATTGTTAGGATAGCAACAAGGTTACAGTCATACAGTCACAAGTGGGAGGGGATGGGTGATAAGGAGTGAGGAGAAGATTAATAGTAATAGTAATGCTGACTTAGTAAATAGTTTGCTAGGGTTGAAGGAATTATTCGGGAAAAAAACTGTTTTGGTGTCTAGCGATTGTTGGTTTTGATGCTTGTAGAGACATCACCCTGCCAACAAAAGGGCATCTAGTCAAGGCTATGGTTTTCCCAGTCGGCTGGGAAAACTGGAGCGTAAGGAAGGCTGAGCGCCAAAGAATGGAGGCCTTTGAACTATGGTGCTGGAGAAGACTCCTGCGAGTCCCTTGGACTGCAAAGGCGATCAAACCGGTCAGTCCTAGAGGAGATCAACCCTGACTGCTCTTTAGAAGGCCAGATCCTGAAGATGAAACACTCAAATACAGGACTTTGGCCACTTAATGAGAAGGAAGGACTCACTGGAGAAGAGCCCAATGCTGGGAACGATTGAGGGCCAAAGAAGAAGAAGGGGACGGCAGAGAATGAGGTGGCTGGATGGAGTCACTAAAGCAGTCGACCTGAGCTTAAATGGACTCCAGAAGATGGTAGAGGACAGGAAGGCCTGGAGGAACATTGTCCATGGGGTCGCGATGGGTCCGACAACTAACAACAACAACAACATATTACCTTCCAGTAATAAGATCAATTGTTACTGGCACAATTTCTGTAGCTTCGGGAAGACAGGACAAGCCTGCCAAAGTACTTACTTGGACCCAAGCAAGTCATCATTGTTTCAGCAATAGGAAGCACCCTATTGCCTTAAAAGGGGAGGCATGAAATGATTAGAGCATACACAGAGTGTATAACTCAGCTTTTGTTATTCCCGCTGAACTGAGCTCCATCGTAACCCAATGCTCTTATCTGCATAGATAAGGAAGGCCTCCGTGCTAATTGCCAAGCTTAACTAAATAGCCTTGCTGTCATGTTAAAATGTGAATTCTGTCTCTGCTGCAAGTATCTAATGTGAAGATAACAACCTAGCAAGTTCTGGAAAATGTGTATTATTTTTCTTTCCTCCTGAGCCCCATTGTTCCCGAGCTCTGGGAAAATTATGAAGTTTGCATGAACTTTTGTTGTTGTTAGCTGCAAAGTCGTGTCAGACCCATTGTGACCCCATGGACAACACTCCTCCAGGCCTTCCTGTCTTCTACCATCTTCTGGAGTCCATTTAAGCTCACGCCAACTGCTTCAGTGACAGTCACCTCATTCTGTGCCGTCCCCTTCTTCTTTTGCCCTCAATCGTTCCCAGCATGAGGCTCTTCTCCAGTGAGTCCTTCCTTCTCATTAAGTGGCCAAAGTCTTTGAGTTTCATCTTCAGGATCTGGCCTTCGAAAGAGCAGTCAGGGTTGACTCTTCTAGGACTGACTGGTTTGATCGCCTTGCAGCTCAAGGGACTCGCAGGAGTCTTCTCCAGCACCATAGTTCAAAGGCCTCCATTCTTCAGCGCTCAGCCTTTCTCATGGTCCAACTTTCACAGCCATACATTGCAACTGGGAAAACCATAGCCTTGACTATACGCACTTTTGTTGGCAGGGTGATGTCTCTGCTTTTTAGTATGCTGTCTAGATTTGCCATAGCTTTCCTCCCCCAGGAGCAAGCTTCTTTTAATTTCTTGGCTGCAGTCCCCATCTGCGATGATCTTGGAGCCCAGGAAAATAAAATCTGTCACTACTTCAATTCCCCCCCTCATCTATTTGCCAGGAATTGAGAGGGCCAGAGGCCATGATCTTGGTTTTCTTAATGTTGAATTTTAAGCCACCTTTTGCACTCTTCTTCTTCACCCGCATCAAGAGGCTCTTTAGTTCTTCTTCACTAATGGATAAGAAATTATGTTTCTAACACAATGATGGGTTGTGCATGGACTATGTGTAGACTATAAAAAGGAAAAAAAAGTTTTAGTTAGTGCATGGCCTTTCTTTTTCTCTCTCTCTGCCTGCTCTGTTTAAGGCAGATTAAAAACACCCAATTTTAACCTTGATCAATGATAAAGCTGATTATCCATTGCCTCATGTTCCGAGTTTCATTGGATTAATTCAGATTCTGAACTGCACTAAAACCTAACATGTTTCCTTGATGGTGCTTTTAGAAAATAAATCAACTCCCTCTTTTTCGTGGCTTCTTAGTGTGTTTAGAAGAATAGAATGGAATGGAACAATAGAGTAGAGTAGAACAGTTGGAAACCCTACCATTTCAGACAGGTGGCTGTCCGGTCTTTTCTTAAAAACCTCCAGTGATGGAGCAACCACAACTTCTTAAAGGAAACCGTTCCACTGATTAATTCAAGGGTCTTCAAACTTGGCAAGTTTAAGATTTGTGGACTTCAACTCCCAGAATTCCTGAGCTAACATGACTGGAGGAAGAATTCTGGGAGTGAAGTCCACAAGTCTTAAAGCTGTCAAGTTTGAAGACCCCTGGATTAATCGTTCTCACTGTTTCTTCTTAATTCTAGGTTGCATCTCTCCTTGATTAGCTTCCATCCATTGTTTCTTGTCTTGTCTTCTGGTGCTTTGGAAAATAAGTTGAGCTTGACCCCCTCTTCTTAGTGAATTGAGTGACAGGATAGCAGTCTTCCAATATCTCAGGGGCTGCCCCAAAGAAGAGGGAGTCAAGCTATTCTCCAAAGCCCCCTGAGGGCAGGACAAGAAGCCATGGATGGAAACGAATCAAGGCGAGAAGCAACCTAGAACTAAGGAGACATTTCCTGACAGTTAGAACAACTAATCATTGGAATGACTTGCTTCCAGAGTTGTGGATGTTCTAACACTGGAAGTTTTTAAGAAGAGATTAGACTAGACTAGAAGTTGAAGTCCACAAGTCTTAAAGTTGCCAAGTTTGGGGACCCC